ACATTAAGCACTTAGCAACGATTGAAGATGTGGTGATGTTATCAGGCTATTGCAGAACAGAAGGTTCAAAACAGAAGGGCTGATGTGTTTTCCCAAGCACTGAAACACTTTTTTCAGAAAGCCTATTCAGAAGTTTATTTTTATTTTAGCAGTTGGAATTCCATTGGTTAATATTTTAAAATGTAAGACACATAGTTCTTCCTTAGCTTTTAAATTTAATTTGCAAATTTGATTATTCAGTTCACAAATTCAGTAGATATCTGACTGCATTTTGTGTATCTCACAAAGCTTTCTTGTGACCTGTGTTCGTAAATCATAATGGATACTGAGGACACCAAGCACTAGAAATCACCGTTTGGGTCTTAGCTTGGGGCTTAAGAGAGGCAAAGGGCTGATTAAAGGGCCTCATTTATGCCTGCAAGAGTTTCAAGGCTAAGAAGAAACGTATCTGCTATTACATAGTAGATATACATATCTATAATGTATAACTATGTAGATATATATACAATGTATCTACAATGTAGTAAATATATCTACATAGTAAATATACATACACAGCTACTATGTATCTAATTTTATACCAGTACGATGTTGTTTTGTAGTATAATTTAAAGTCAGGTCATGTGATGACTCCCGATTTGTTCTTTTTGCTTAGGATTCCTTTAGCTATTCAGGCTCCTTTTTAGATTCCATGTGAATTTTGGAATTGTTTTTATAATTCTGTGAAAAATGATGTTGCTATTTTGATAGGAATTGCATTGAATCTATAGATTGCTTTGGGGACTGTGGTCATTTTACAATATTGATTCATTAATCCATGAGCATGGGATGTATTTCCATTTGTTTGTGTCATCTACAATTTCTTTCAGCAGTATTTTGTAGTTCTCCTTATAGAGGTCTTTAATGTGCTTCGTTAAGTATATCCCTAGGCATTTTATTTTTTGTAGCAATTGTAAAAGGGATTGAATTCTTGGTTTGATTCTCAGCTTGGTCGTTGTTGGTGTATAACAGTGCAGTTATTTTGTGTGTATTGATTTCGTTACCTGAGAAGTTACTGAATTCATTCATCAGTTCTAGGAGTCTTTTGGAGAAGTTTTTAACGGTTTTCTAGGTATAAGATCATATCAAGATAAAAGATCATATCATTGGATATAGAGAGAGTTCAACCTCCTCTATTCCAAGTTGAATGTCCTTTATCTTTCTTTTGCCTGATTGCTCTGGCTGAGACTGCCAGTACTATGTTGAATAGAATTGGTGAAAGTGAATATTCTTGTCTTGTTCCAGCTCTTAGGTGAAATGCTTTCAACTTTTCTCTGTTAGTATGATGTTGGCTGTCATTCATGGCTTTTATTATTTTGGGGTGTGTTTCTTCTATCCCTAGTTTGTGGAAGTCTACTGTGTACTTCCATAAGCTCAACTTTTTAGATTTCTAGGCTCCTGGGCTCAAGGATCCTCCTACCTAAGCCTCCTGAATAGCAGGGACTGATTTAGGGACACACTATCATGTCCAGCCTGGATATTTATTTTATTTTGAGTTAAAACTCATATTAGTGTCGACTTCATGAATGTTTATTCTATTCTGAGTGTATATTCTACAGTATTTTAAAAATATTTATTTATACTTAATCCCCAATGTGATGGTATTTTAAAATTTATTTTCATGCTAAAATTGTTCCAGCTTTGGCCATTAGGAGCTCCTTCAGGTCCTTATCCTTTAAAAAATATCTCTGTATTTTCTAGCATTACAAGATACTACAGGCTTATCTTACATTTTTCCTTTCCCAGTCCTGAGATTAATTTCTGTCAGGAAAAAATCTGGCCAGGTACAGTGGCTCATGCCTGTAATCCCAGCATTTTGGAGATGCTGAGGAGGGCAGATCACTTGAGCTCAGGAGTTTGAGACTAGCCTGGGAAACATGGCAAGACCCTCAACAGAAAAAAAAATAATTTCTCAGTTAAGTTTATAGAAAAGCTTAGGATAGTTAGGCCATGCAGCTTAATGTCACTTGCAAGTAAAAGAATTTAACAAGGTCAAGCAAAAGAAAGGTTTTCCCCATTTCCAGCCAAAACCAGAGGGATGATAGAGATGAGAATAGAAGGAGAATATGGAGAGCAAAACCATTACTCATACATCTCTCAGTTTCTTCTGGTAAGGCTTAGTCTTGGAGAATGAAAGTTTCATTAGATAAACTGGAGATGACATTGAGGAAAGAGCCCTTAGGTTACACCCTTTTCAGAGTAAATGATGAAGCACAACACGGACAGTCAGAGGGGATGCTCAGGCTTCTTGAAATACTTCCAGCCTCCACGTAGCCTAGATGATGAGCGGAGAGCCAGAGGACCTCTCCAAGAAAACCCGTAACAGCTGAGGCTGAATTGGACTTCCAAATGCAGTCATGTCACCTATGAATCTACAGTCAAGGAGAGCCAGGGTGAGGCTGAGTCAGCCAGGGAATGCTACTGGGCCCTAAACAAGCTGATAAACTCCAGAATAACACATTACATCAACCACATCAGGCACACTGGATACATCTCTGCAGACAAAGGGAAGGAAGGGCAGAACACCAGAGGGCCATGAATGTCTGCAATGTAGAAACATACACATTTCCCTTCCCATATACTTCCGTATAAGAAGGGAATCTGGGGAGGGAGGAGCTTTTGAGAGTTTGAACACATTAATTAATCACAATGAGAAACTGTTTTCTAAGAGGCTGTTTAACATATTGAATGTGTTTCAGTTGGAATTTACTGAATATATAGTTCATTTGTTTTTCAGCTTTCAGCTTTCTTTTTTTTTTTTTTTTTTTTTTTTTTTTTGAGACGGAGTTTCGCTCTTGTTACCCAGGCTGGAGTGCAATGGCGCTCGGCTCACCGCAACCTCCACCTCCTGCGTTCAGGCAATTCTCCTGCCTCGGCCTCCTGAGTAGCTGGGATTACAGGCACATGCCACCATGCCCAGCTAAGTTTTTGTATTTTTAGTAGAGACGGGGTTTCACCATGTTGATCAGGATGGTCTCGATCTCTCGACCTCGTGATCCACCCGCCTCGGCCTCCCAAAGTGCTGGGATTACAGGCTTGAGCCACCGCACCCGGCCTGTTTTTCAGCTTTCTTAACAGTGCTATCTCATCAGAATGTCAGATTAGTTATCAACAAAATAAAGACATTGCATTTTTTTTCTCCACACAATTGATTTGTAGCAGAAGGAAAATTTTGAGATCTTTCTGTATGAGGATTGTTGTAGTTATGTTAGAGATATGAGAAAAATATTCCTAGGAGAGGCTGTATATATTATGTATATACATGCCTCCCAGGTTCAAGTGATTCTCCTGTCTCAGCCTCCCAAGTAACTGGGATTACAGGCATAGGCCACCATGCCCAGCTAATTCTTTTTATTTTTAGTACAGATGGGGTTTCACCATGTTGGCCAGGCTGGTCTTGAACTCCTGACCTGAAGTGATCTGCCCACCTCAGCTTCCCAAAGTGCTCGGATTATAGGCATAAGCCACCATGCCCAGCCATACTCTTGTAAATATATTTTATGTTGTATAACCTCCAAGATCAATGAGATGAATATGACCAGAGAGATGGTCTGTAGAACATACCCAGGCTAGCACAGAATTTCTTCAGCTCATGTACCAAAGGTTGGGTTTTAGAAGATGTCATGGAGAAAGTTGGTTGGTACCTTATTCACTCAGACATTACAATGTAAAGCCATGTGCCTCCAAATGAAGATTGGTGCTGTATTAGCAATGATTCTTCAGAGAAAAAGAGCCAGTAGAGCATACACAGATACATAGAAAGAAGTTTATCGTGCGGAGTTGGCCCACACAATTATTGAGGCTGAGAAGCCCCACAATTTGCCATCTGCAAGCTGAGAGACTAGTGATGGAGTTCCAGTCGAAACCCAAAGTTTTGAGAATCTGGAGAGCCAATGTCATAACTCCTAGTCTGAATCTAAAGGCCCAAGAACCAGAAGCACTGGTGTCCAAGGGCAGGAGAAGATGGATATCTCAGTTCAAGCAGAGAGAGTCCCTTTGCCCTTGCTCTGCCTTTTTGTTCCACTTAGGCCCTTAACAGATTGGATGATGCCTACCTACATGGGTGAGGGAGATCTTTATTCAGTCTATGGATTAAATGCTCATCTTTTCCAGAAACACTCTCACACTTCCACTCAGAAAAAATGTTTCTCCAGGTGTCTGAGCATCCCTTAATCCAGTCAAGTTGACACATAAAATCAACTATCACAATTGCCTAGAGGCTTGATTTCCTGTGTTCCTCCTCTAGACACTAAAATGGGATCTAGCAGTCCTTGGCGCTAGGCCCTCATTTACATCAACCGAGTGATCATTAGGAGCTCAGCTCTAAGTGTAAGACACAGATAAGGAATAAGAGGAGACTAACAGACTGGACTGGAGTAAAGCATGCGAAGAGCAATGGACACTCTCCCTACCATTGCCCATCACTACTCTATATCCCATTTTCAGAAAGTTTTAAGCAATGATAATAATAACAAGATGTTGTTAATAAGTTTGAAGAGGAGGAGATAATTGTTACTTAAACTGGACAAAGAGGTTTCTTTCACCAGACTGATCCTCCAGCCTCTCTCTGAGGTGATGTATTCTCAGATGCAGCCACATTTACTAGAAAGTGAGGAAAATAATTGTAGATCATTGTGACTATTCCCAAAAGTGAGTAATTTTGTAAACACAAGCATCTAAGCTAAATTAAAGATGTGGGAATTCACGCAAATAACATTGGATGACTGAAATGTGCTTTTTCCTAAATATATAAATGCTTCACCCTGAGCTGTCCACATCCGGATCTATGCAGTGCCTTGTAAGAAAGAATAAGACAAGTGAAATAGCCATACACATAGCCCTGGACAGATGTATTGCATAAATGTCTGAAAGGGATTTGTGTTCCCTTGGTACTAAATTGTGTCACAAGGAAGAAAATTCCAAACTGAGAAACCCCACATCACCATACCAGAGCCACTGACTAGATTGAAGCACTTTTTATTCTTTCTGGTGAACTAGAGAATCAAATGGATGTGTCTTTAGAGGACACTGCAGGCAACCATTTTCTGTTTCTCTTGGTGCTGGTCATCCTTCCACTGCAGGCATTTGTATCCATAACACATTCAAGGCATGCTAACTTGTGGGACCTGCATGGGATCACATCTCAGAGCACTGTCTGTGAACCTTGCTTATGGTGCCTTTGTGAGGCGTTGGGAAAGGAAGAAAGGAAGGTGGGTGATTAAAGTGAGTGGAAGCAAAACTGCCATTCTCAACTTTGATCTATAAGGATCATTATGGAGAGGATTATATCCTCCCACCGTAAGCTCTCAGAGAAAACTCTGCTACGGTGGTACGACAAAGACACCATCCTCATTAAGTAAACTTCTGTGGTTAGGTGGCTCCACGATATCATTTATAGTATAAGGAATAAGTTTTTGTATTTCATTTTGCCATGTACAAGTGATAAGGACATATCCCCTCCTATAAAATGATTCGTATTGACACATTGGTAGGTTAGATGCTTCCGTTAAATTACAATACACTCCTTCTACTAATTTCTTGCTCCTGTTACATTTCCTAATCCCATTCTTACATGGCACAAATCTGTTGTAACAGGTTTTTTCCAGCTCGTCATATTGCATAAGAAGGAAGTAATGTTCTGTCACACAACTGTATTTGTAGTAAACGTTTTTTCTCATTATTTGATAATTACAGTAGCCACTATCACCTAATGGCATTCCGGGATTAACGAGGATGCGTCTTTTGACTTTTTCTTTGGTAGGTGGTCTGGTGGGCCCTGTACTTTGAAATTCTACTATAAAGTCTTCAAAGTCTTCTTCAGTTCTAGATACTGGTAAATAAAAATCTTCATAATACATGTCTTGAAACTGCAGTGGCTGCAGCAGCTGCAGCAACAATAAAAGCAGAGGCAGTGAGTGTGTGGTGATCAGCATTCTCATCAGGTTTCCTGTAGGCACTACAAGAGATAAGAAGATATGTTCTATTGTGATAATGTGCTTGCTTCAATTTCCTGTGCAGGGCACGCCTATGTCATTTATTGCTGTTCTGGGCTCTAAGATTTTGGACCATTTTAAAATGGCCAACTCATAATCTTTCTGAATACTTCTAAATTATTGACAAAAATGACCTTACTAGGTCTACAGTCAACCTAGAGCTGTAGTAAGAGAAGAAAGGGTGAAAGGAAGGAGAACGAGAAAGGGAGAGAAATGAAGGCAAGGAGGAAGAAAAGGAAACAAGGAAGAAATGGGGCAAGAGCGAGATTAAGGAATGAGGAAAGGAGAAAGGAAATCAAGACAGCAGTGGGGAGAAAGAGAGGGAGGCAGCGAGGAGGCTCACATGCTCCTTCCGGCTGAAACAAAAGTATCTTTTCCCTTTCTAGGAGTTGAGAACTTGCACTGAAAAGAGCCATAAGTGATCCACTCTCCCCTTTTAAACATCCTACTTGATGAGAAAAATTCCTTAACTGTGTCTTTCTTTATCTTCTTGCTCTTATCTGGCCATAGATGCCCTTGGGGAAGGGGCCAAGCAAGGTTCAAGTTTGAGCAGCTGAGATCAATACGTTCTTGAAGTCACCCTGAAGTAAAAATAATGACACACAGTAATTGCTAGCATAATGAGGAGTTCTGTGCCAAACACTAGACTAAGCACTTTAAGTACATTGTTACCCTTATCTAAACGACCGTATAATAAATATTTTTAGTATTGTTGTTGTAACAATAAAAGTTGCAAAAAAGAAGTGTGAAGTTACTAACATCTCTCTGTGAAGGGAAGTTCCTTAAAATCTTACATTAGATCTGGCAGACTCCTGGTTCAAGCCTATTTTTGTCTAATTTCCACACATCTGTGTTTTGTTTTTGTTTTGAGACAGAGTTTCATCCTTGTTGCCCAGGCTGGAGGGCAATGGCGTGATCTCAGCTCACCGCAACCTCTGCTTCCCAGCTTCAAGCCTCCTCAGCCTCTGCCTCCTGAGTAGCTAGGATTACAGACATGTGCCACCATGCCCGACTAACTTTTTGTAGTTTTAGTAGAGATGGAGTTTCTCCATATTGGTCAGGCTAGTCTCGAACTCCCGACCTCAGGTGATCTGTCCCACTCAGTCTCCCAAAGTGCTGGGATTAGAGGAGTGAGCCACGGGGCCTGGCCTCCACACATCTATTCCTAACTGCTATTCTGTGGCCTCCGTCAGTGTGGTTTCTCTTTCTAACGTTAGACTGTATTTCCCTCTCTAGGCTGTTAAACACAATGACTACTGAAATGGCCAGTACTAAAGGTGAATTTGAATGCTTTGACAAATTGATCCACATTCCATGAAGAACGAATTAGTTTATGGCGGAAGCAATCTCCTGAGTTTTCTCACCTTACCAGGCTCTTTGTAAAAGAAGTCCTACTTGGTGACAACCTGAGTGATTCTCTAACAGTCCTAATCTGGAGACCTTGATCTCCAGGAGATGAAGGTGGAGAGCCTCCTGTTCTAGGCTGGATACTAAGTGTGTATATATGTGTATAGAAAGGTTAGAGAACTGATGGAATAAAAGAAAGGTGGGTGGGAATTAAAGTGGAGACAATAACAAAGTTGAGGGTAGGAGTGCAGAGAATGGGAAAGAAAAGAAAAAGCTGTCTAAAATGGTGAGGGGAGAATGGGCATTCTGGGGTGGCCATGTGCCACACGGTCTGTCCCCTCCCTGCTGTTCCTCCCATCCCTGCTTTCACACTCTCATCAGTGTCCTCCAGGAAGTCTCTTCAGAAGAGTGATCCTGTGGTGACAGGCCAGAGAGCTCAGAACATATTCCCATGAGAGCGTGGAGCCTCGGCAACATCTTGAGCTGGAGAGAACATGGACAGTGCACGTGTGGAAAGCAGAATTCAGGCGGCTGTGGCCCTGCCCTTTCTACTTCCCGAGGACGTGCACAGGGCCTGTCTGGAACACTCCTTTGTTTTTTAAATCTGCAATCTTCTTACTCCTTGATTTATGAATGCAATTTTTGATTTCATTCTTCTCAAAATCCTTTCTCATCTCAAAGTATATGAATTTTTTAATACTCTGCTCTGTTACTATTGATTTTTAGAAGTCTTTCAACCATCTGGAATTGATTTTAATGGATAGTAAGAAGTTAGGTGTGGTCTTATTTCACATGGTTTATACATCATCTCAGCACCAATTATTTCGGAAAAAAATCGATTTTCTCATTCCTACTTTTGAAAGCTACTTTCTATGTGTAACTATTCTGTTTCTGAACACTTTAGTGTGTTTTGATATGCCAATGATATGCTGTTTTGCTTATTGTCATTTTACGGTGTGGGGTTATTTATTTACTTATTTATTTGTTTATTTTTTGAGACGGAGTTTCGCTCTTGTTACCCAGGCTGGAGTGCAACGGCGCGATCTCGGCTCACCGCAACCTCCGCCTCCTGGGCTCAGGCAATTCTCCTGCCTCAGCCTCCTGAGTAGCTGGGATGACAGGCACGCGCCACTATGCCCAGTTTTTACTGTGTTTTTTTTTAAGAGTCATGATTGCAAGGCTGGTTGCCTCCCCGGGAGCTCGGACATGCCCATCCCTCTCCGAGCCTGAAAACTATGTCACCACTCCGCTCTCCACATCAAGCCCTGCGCTCGGCATCTAGCTCCCCCACATAGCTTCCCCGACGCCCACTTCTGCACTCCGCACCGAATCTGCACTCCGCACCTAGCCAGCCGTTGGAAAACCCCGCCAAAATTTAAACGAAGCCCCGCCAAAACCTGCCCAATAGCATTTTGCCCCGTCCAGGTCCCGCTCCCCACTGGCAGCCCGCTCACCGGAAATCCCGCCCACCCAACAACAGCAGCTTGCCGCGGCCACCTCCTGTTCCCTCATAACCGATCAAGACAGTCGCTCACTACGCCTGGGGAAGCCCCGCGCGACTTCTCTGGCCCCTTTCCTCGGGGCCTTGGGACCTCGCCCGAAGCTGAATACGTTGGCATTTAATTTTCTTATGCTGGCCTGTTTCCTCATTTTAAACTCGGCAATAACCCTTACAATAATCTCACCTGGTTGCCTCCGCTGACTCAGAACTCCTGGATTCAAGGAATCCTCCCACAGACTACCAAGCGGCTGGGACTGCAAGTGCGCTCCACTGTACGTGTACTTACTACCATTCTGTGAAACACTTTGGTGTCTCGTAAAGCAGTCTACACTCATTCCTCTTCTTTTTTTTTTTTTTTTGAGACGGAATTTCGCTCTTGTTACCCAGGCTGGAGTGCAATGGCGCGATCTCGGCTCATCGCAACCTCCGCCTCCTGGGTTCAGGCAATTCTCCTGTCTCAGCCTCCTGAGTAGCTGGGATTACAGGCACGCGCCACCATGCGCAGCTGATTTTTTGTATTTTTAGTAGAGACGGGGTTTCACCATGTTGACCACGTTGGTCTCGATCTCCTGACCTCGTGATCCACCCGCCTCGGCCTCCCAAAGTGCTGGGATTACAGGCGTGAGCCACCGCGCCCGGCCCTCATTCCTCTTCTTATTCAGATGTTTACTACGTAGGCAGAGAGCAGATGACAGGGTGCCTGGGGCGGGTGGTAGAAATGGCGATTACCAATAAGTGGGAGAAAGAGAGACAGAGGAGAGAGAGAGAGAGAGCGCGGGCAGTGACGGAGGGAGGGCGATTCTCACACAGCAGAAACGCCAGGTCTACCTGTGGAATGTAGGCTTCTTGGATTTTTCTCAGTTCTCACTAATTGAAATTTCTGTGGATGATCCATAAATTTGCATTTTAAACAAATTTACAAGGTGATTCTTAGCTCACTAAAGTTGAAGAAGGAATTTCTTAATATGCATTAAAATGAACTTCTGATAAAGCAAACATCCTAAAACAGTGGGGGAAAGTGTTTGGCCTTTTCAGTAAATGTCTTTGGAAGAAGAATGGGACGAGTTGCTTCCTCTTTCTGACTACTGTGAATCATGTTGCTATGAACATGGGCGCACAAACACCTGTTCAAGTCCCTGCTTTTCCTCCCTGCTTGTAAATTTGCTTGGAAGGTTTATTGCAACTTAGATTTGCCGTCTGAGAAAGGCCTGAGAGGGGCTGTCTGTCTAGTCTCTCTCCTAAAATGCAAGTTCTGAGCACCAGATCAGAACTCTGTATTTAACCACAGACATAAGAAGTTTATAGTAAAAAGAAAAAACTGGAATGAGTAAAGGGCTTGTGGGTGGACCAATATATTTCAGAAGTATTAAGTGGTATTTAAAATTTTTAAGTTTAAGATTAAAATTAAAATTTAAAATTGGTTTAAATTAATCTTTTTTTTGAACAGCTTATACAATGAAGCCTTAATAAATCATGATCATATAATAATTATAAAGCCTCAATCACAAAAGGAAAAACTATATTATCTTTTAAATTGGCAATAATTAATTATAATAACTTACAAACTCAATGCTGATGAGAGTCCGATGAGATGTTTCTGATCAGAAAGAAATTATTATAATTTTTTTAAATTTGAGAAATATAATAAAAAGAATAGCTGCCGGGCGCGGTGGCTCAAGCCTGTAATCCCAGCACTTTGGGAGGCCGAGGCAGGTGGATCACGAGGTCAAGAGATCAAGACCATCCTGGTCAACATGGTGAAACCCCGTCTCTACTAAAAATACAAAAAATTAGCTGGGCATGGTGGCACGTGCTTGTAATCCCAGCTATTCGGGAGGCTGAGGCAGGAGAATTGCCTGAACCCCGGAGGCGGAGGTTGCGGTGAGCCGAGATCGCGCCATTGCACTCCAGCCTGGGTAACAAGAGCGAAACTCTGTCTCAAAAAAAAAAAAAAAAAAAAAAAAAGAATAGCTGATACTTTCCTCTAGCATTTCAATAGCTAGAATTGTAAGTTGCCATAATTTATATTGAAAGACAACTAGCAAATTTTACTTAAAAGGGAAAAAATTGAAATTTTAAAATATAAATATCCCAAAATGTGGGAAAGGAAAAGGCTACATTGAGTCTGATATGTTCATAGAAATGACAATAAACATTGCAACAATAATGACTATTATAAGAGCTAATATTTATTGACACACTCAGTATTTTATATTCTTAGAACTATATATTCTTAGAATAGGCTATTTTTTATAATTTACAAATATATTATTCAAAATTTTAGATCATCTGAGAAACGAGAACAGAAAAAAGAAAAGAATTAAAAATTTTGAGATATGAAATATTTTGTGATATAATATTATAGTATTAGCACTCTCTGGGTGACAGTGAGAAAAATTCCAAACAAATTACCTTAAATGCAAGAGGCACTATATTGACACAGAAGTTGGAAGTCCAAGAGGTAGGGCAGGAGAAATAAATCAAATTCTTGACTAGACTCTTGCGTTTACTCTCTCCCACTCTTCTCCTTTGTACGCTAACTTTATTCTCTTGTAGGGACTCTCCGTGTAATGACAGAGTCAATCATTGCCACCTTTGTTGCCTTATATTTAGGGTCACAGTAGGAAGTGCCATTCTCTGTCACCTTCACCCAACAAGGAAAAGAACTTTTCTGATTGGCCATGCTTCTGTCATATGAATAATCCAGGGATGTGGAGCACTCTCATTGGTTACCTGAAACACATGTCCTCTTTGAGAAGCAAAGGTAAAGAAGTAAAGGTAAAATTAAAACCCAACAGAATTCCAATTGTCGACAGAAAGGCTGTTCCCTTTACACAAAAAAGGAATGGAGATGAAATCCAAAAGTAATAAAAGTGCTTTGCTGTTTAGCTGCGGGAAAATCATAATACTCTATCTACAGCATGTTCACAATTAACAGAAATATAGATACCTGGGAAAGAAAAAAAAATTTAATAAGTTGTTATTTCTGAATGACTTATTTCTGTTTTTTTACTTTAATCTTTAAAATTGTCAATTTTACAAATTTGAACAAATAACAAAATGTCATTGAAGAAGTGAAGTTTTCAAATCTGAATTGGACATGTTCTTAAATAATGAGTGCTAATTTTCCAGACTCCCACATTTTTACTTTTTTTTGACTCCCACATTTTTATATCAGTAAATCCACTTTTCATCAGCATCAGAAAAATCTATTACTTAGTTTGAGTGGTTGAGAAAAGATAGATTATACAATTTCAATCCTTAGAATTAGACTAACCTTTGTGAATAAATCCCAGGGTATCTCTTAGTTAAATCCAGTAGAAAAATATGGGTTTCAACCGGATTTAAGTTTTCACAAACATTTTGATGCAATATTTATGCCTCAAATCTTCACACCCATGATTGAACTGAGAATGGTATCAGGATGGGAAAATCTGGAGGAAAAATGTTATTCTTGTGAGTAAGAGAATCAGCACGTTTACTGATATGTTATATATTTTGCCCAATTGAAGACATTTCCTCCCTTTGGGCCACTATAAAAACTTGAGTGTCATAGCTTAAAGCAGCATACGTACTAGACGTACAGAAAACAAGTGTTTCTAAATAATTGAAAACCTTATGAGCACGAAGAGAGTAATTTTCATATATGAAGTCAAAGCTGGTCTGGGTTCACAGAAATCTCTTCAGAATTTATTGCAGTTTTTTGCAAATTTATTTTTACTCATATCTTACTTAGCTTTTTAATTGTACAATTCCTCAAAATTTTAAAAAGACTTAGATAGATATTTATTTTTCCTGTAATGGTAGTGAGTCTAGAAGGCATAGACTGGGATGTGGATTCTGGTTTTGTTTGATTTCATAAGTCAGTATTTCTCAGGGATCAGGAATAGCAGGAAAATTGAAGTATGGAATATACGAGAATAGGCTATCTCCTAGATTTGGCATTGGAGAAGGATATTTATTTTTCCTTAGATAGATATTTATTTTTCCTGTAATGGTAGTGAGTCTAGAAGGCATAGACTGAGATGTGGACTCTGGTTTTGTTTGATTTCATAAGTCGATATTTCTCGGGGATCAGGAATAGCAGGAAAATTGAAGTATGGAATATACAAGAATAGGCTATCTCCTAGATTTGGCATTGGAAAAGGAAATAAATCTGGTGAAATAGTAGGTTCTATATTAAGAAAAAAATCACATAGATGCTAGTTTTCATGTCATGCACACACATAAACACACACTCCACAATTTATGATGAACTGGAAATCAAAGTAATATTTTAAGAACAATAGCAAGGATATTGAATTAAAGTATAGCAGAATATTTTAAATCACTTTTGAGTAAATAAAAGATGTTCTTATTAAAAAAGACAAGAGCACAGGCATAAAGAAAATTACTGAAAGACTTGATTACACACACATAAACTGAATTGCATACCATATACATGAGTGCACAGAAAATTTCACCATGAACAAATAACAAAATAAGAATCTCTAAAGTCACCAAATATAAGATTCAAAGACCACAAACAGCTTTTAAAAATACTTTCTAAACATGTGAACAAACTTCTCAAACTCAGATGTAAATAAAGTGTTAATTTCTCCTCTAAATCCAATGTATCTGTACCAAAACCCCAACTACTGACGATGGCAGTGAAATTTATCTCAGTTATTATTCTAGGTGCCTTCCAACTTACAAAATTGGAGAAACCCAGGAATCTGAAGCTGTCCTAATACAAAAAGTTCAGTACCTTTACATGTGAGTGTTGATTGGCATCATCAAAGTTTCTCTTTCTGTTATAAATGGCCTTACTATTGAGCAGAGTTTTTCCTCTGCCTTTCAGGTATCTAAGAATTTAATCCTAATACTATTAACTTCTACTTGAACCATCAAAGCCCAAAGATATGACAACTTCTTGTGTTATTTAAAAAAAAAAAAAAAAAAAAAAAAAAAGAGGTTCTCTCTTTTCCAGTCTTCTACAGCAATAAAAACTAAATGCCAGTCTAAAATATGACAAGGTAGAAAATGTCACTTTAAGAGGGCTGTATAACATGGTTCATATCATGTTTGCTGCCAGTCTTGATTCAGACTGTATTCATCGTGAGCCAGTCACTCTAGTCTCTTCGTTCCTTCTTCTGGGTCCTTATGTCTGTGAAGAGAAACTAATGGGTCTCAGTCTGGTATAGCCCCAAGCAGCACCTGAGGCTCCCGATACTTTTAGAGAACCAAAATATTTTAGACCTGGCTTTAAAAAACAAGAGAGAGAGAGAAAATCAGCAAGCTGATAGAATAAAGATTCTCTGGTATCACTCCCTCCCTAAAAATATAACTAGAAACTACTCAAAGACAAGAATATCACCCTGAATCCCTGAATACAACAGAACTTGGGAGAGAAGTGGAGAAACCCGCTTGGTCCACAGAATTAAAACAAACCACCACCAGTAAAAGAAATAGCCATTTTAGACTGTGCCAACCCTTCCCCCCTACTTTTAAAAATCCTAATCAGTAGAAAAATGTGAAAAGTCGAGACTGGCCTAGCCTCCCAGCCTACATCTTCCTCCCGTGCTGGATTCTTCCTGCCCTCAAACATCAGACTCCAAGTTCTACAGTTTTGAGACTCAGACGGGCTCTTGCTCCTCAGCTTGCAGATGACCTATTGTGAAACCTTGTGATTGTGTGCATTAATACTTAATAAACTCCCTTTATATATCTATCTATCCTATTAGTTCAGTACCTCTAGAGAACCCTGACTAATACAGCTCCCTGCAGCATTCAGCAGTGGAATGTTGATCACATGTTGATCACTATTCCCTCTAAAAGGATCAGAGGGAATAGTGACTATTCCTATTAGCCATACTAGAAAAAGTAAAAAATGATAGGGCATTAGAGCACTCAGCAAGCTCTGTCCTCAGTAGTGGTTGATAATTAGCCCCAGACTAAGCACTTTTTCAGAGCTGCCTAACAAATCATAAAATCAAGATCCAAAAGGATCCAAGTGGTTCCAAGTAGCTTAACTGTGTCCTTGAACAACACTCAAAAAGATTTACAGGAATATACAAAATTCCTTCAAGGGAAGCCAACAATGTAGAAATCAGAACATCTGAAATCCAATCAAAGATTACCAAGCATGTAAAAGAGCAGGAAAATACAAACCTTCATGAGGAGAACAATCAGTCAATGGAAACTGAACTGTTTACAGTTATAGAAAAGTTACAAATTTTAGAATTAACAGAGAAACAGTTATTGCAACTGAATTCCGCATGGGCAAAAGGATAAGTTGAATTTTAGATGATAAAAATACAAAACCAAATCAAACTTTTAGAGATAAAAATTACAATGTGTGAAATAAAAAAAAAATACATTGGTTGCCATTAATGGCAGATTAGAAATTGTGAAAGAAAAAATAGTAGATGGTAAACGCAAGTGGCTCTGCAGACTCTAAAGGGGAGAACTGGAGAAATTAAAATTTTTTGAAAATATAATGGCCAAAAGCTTTCAAAATTTGATGAAAAATATACACTCACAGATGCAAAAATCTTAGCAAGCTCAAAGCACAAAACATGAAGGAAATATACCAAGGTATACCAATGCTCGAAGTGGGCAGGGAGAAAGCAATGATAGGGAAAACCATAGAAGTGATCCCATAACAAAAGGCATGTTATGGTCAGTGCCAGGCACAGTGGCTCACTCACACCTGTAATCCCAGCACTTTGGGAGGCCAAGGCAGGTGGATCACTTGAGGTCAGGAGTTTGAGACCAGGCTGGCCAACATGGTGAAACCTCATCTATACTAAAAATTAGCAGGGCATGGTGGTGCATGCCTGCAACCCCAGCTACTCTGAAGGCTGAGGTGGATGAATGGCTTGAAACCAGGAGGTAGAGGTTGCAGTGGGCCAAGATTGGGTCACTGCACTCCAGTCTGGGCAAGAGAGTGAGACTCTTAAAAAAAAAAAAAAAAAAATGTGTTATGACCAGAGAAACAAAGGTTAACTTGATGGTAGATTTTTCATCTGAAATAAGAAAGATTAAAATGCAAAAGCATCATTAAAGTTCTGAAAGTATGAAAAAGGAAATTCCTGCAAATTCTATGCCTTGCAAAATATCTTTCAAAAACTCAAGCAAAATAAACACAAAACATAAAAAATTTATCACCAGCAAATCCACATTGCAAGACATATTTTAAAAAGTTATACATGTAGGAAGAAAATGGAGATCTACATCTATATAAAGGAAGAAAGAATGTTATAAATGTAGCTATGTATGATTTTTCTCATTACTGCTGAGTGCAGTGGCTCACACCTGTAATCCCAGGACTTTGGGAGGCTGAGGTGGGTGGATCACCTGAGGTCAGGAGTTTAAGATCAGCCTGGCCAACATGGTGAAACCCCATCTCTACTAAAACCACAAACAGCCGGGCATGGTGGTGGGCATCTGTAATCCCAGCTACTCGGGAGGCTGAGGCAGGAGAATT